GCCACTTCTGGCTTTTTTCTTTTTGCTTATGTGGTGCTGGAGAATCGAACCCAGGGCCTCATGCATGCAAGGCAAGTGCTCTACCGCTGGGCCACATTCCCAGCCCATTTGGCAGTCAAGAATGGGTTTTTTAAGTCCATTATTTTCAATATTCGAATCGACCCATATATTAAACTCTGGGTGTGGTCAGTATGTGCCAACTACTATTTCTGTAGAAACTGATGGACCAAATTTCCAGATTCTACAGTGTAATTCTCATGAAGGTCTGAAAATAAACTTAGAAAACCTCAATTGAGTTGTCAGAATTCCAGAAAAGCTTTATGAATAGCTTAAATTCTCTCCATGAACCGTAACCCTGGCAAGTCAACTGACTCTCAGTACCCACCTTCACACACAATCCACTCACCTCCAACTCCGATAGGATATGACCACAGGAATTTAATTACTCAGTTACTTTCCTGCAAATCAAATGGTGCAACAGCCAAGTATAGTACTTTTCCAATTGTCTATTCCAAACAGATTAATAGGATGTTCTTGTTCTATCAAACATCAATAGTAACTAATGTGTTTGTGTGTGAGAGAGAGAAAGACAGAGCTAGAGAGAGAGAGAAAACATGCGAGCTGGTCCTTGGGCTTGAACTTGGGGCCTGAGCACAGTCCCTGAGCTTTTTTGTACTCATGGCTTGGCACTCTACTACTTGAGCTATGCTTTCACTTCTGGCTTTTTGCTGGTTAATCAAAGTTCAGAGTTTTCTGGCTTTAAACTATGACTCTTAGATCTCAGCCTCCTGAGTGGTTAGGGTTATAGTCATGAGCCTCTAGCACCCAGCTCCCACCCAGCTCCCATATGTCTTTTCAGTTCCCTACAGCCTAGAGAAAGTTTCAGTGTTACAAGTATGGGATTTTATGTACAGCATTTCACGCATTTCCTAAGGCAAGAGGATCAAGAGTTCACAGCTAGCCTGAGCCACAGTCCCATCTCAAAGAAAGTCTCATTAATTTTTTCATCTGCCAAATGAGTAAAACTTTTCTAAGAATCACAGAAATTAAAACAAAGGAACTTTGGGCTAGTGGAGGATGGTGAAAATATAATTAAAATACAGAAACCTGAGACGTGCTCTCTACTACAAAAACAAAAACACAAAAACAAACCTTTGGTCGTTTACTAAACGTCCTTTTGGCAATATATGCATATTTAACGGAATTTAAGAACATCAGAAATGAGGGCTGGGAAGGTGGCTCAGTGGTAGAGCGCTTGCCTTGCATGTTCGAGGCCCTGGGTTCGATTCCTCAGCACCATATAAGCAAAAAGAAAAAAGCCGGAAGTGGCGCTATGGCTCAAGTGGTAGAGTGCTAGCCTTGAGCTGAAGAGCTGACGGACAGTGCCCAGGCCCAGAGTTCAGGCCCCACGACTGGACCCCAAAAAAAAAAAAAGAGTCTCGCGGATGGGCTTTGAACGGTGATTCTCAGACTTCAGCCTCCTGAGTAGCTAGGATTACAGGTGTAAGCCACTGACGTGCAGTCCAGCTCAGATTATTTCTTAAATCTAAAACATTTCATGAATGAAGGACCAGATAACACTACACAAAAGGAAATGTACTTAATACCTGACAATGTATGTCATATCTAAAATAAATTAAAAAACTTTTTTTCATGAGATTGGGCATTGGTGGTTCAAGCCAGTAGTCCTAGCTACTTAGGAGGCTAAGAGCTGAGGACAGGTTGTTTGAAGCTAGCTGGGACAGGAAAGTCCATGAGACTCTTATCTCCAATTAATCACCGGAAAAACAGAATTGGAGCTGTGGCTCAAAGTAGTAGAGCATTAGCCCTGAGCAAAAGAGGCTCAGGAACAGCACCCAAGCCCTGAGTTCAAGCTCCATACCTGTCCAAAAAATAAATAAAAAATAAATAACTCACGAAAACAAGGTCAAAACAGATGCTTACAGAACTCCTTGTACACCCACAGACTCTTACCTCCAAATGCTTCCCAGAGCTTAACCCTCCGATCCATGCCTCCTGTCGCCAGCAACCGGGAACCTGGACTGAACTGCACAGCATTGACTTCTCCATCGTGTGCCTCCTGCAAGACAAGCACCCATCATTGTCATCTATTAGTTCAAAGGCACAGGCATGCATTTTGAATGCCCAACTCAGGCAAAACACTCATCCTTAAACAGGTGGATGGACCTCAAACGAAAGTGGACTTGTAGCTGAATGTCTCCTAAGAGCTGTGTGTGTGTGTATCTGTCTGTCTGTCTAGGTCAGTCCCGGGGGCTGGAACTCTGGGCCTAAGAACTGTCCCTGAGCAGTTCAGCTCAAGGTGAGAGCTCTACCACTTGAGCCACAGTCCCACTCATGGTTTTCTGGTGGTTAATTGGAGGTAAGAGTCCCATGGGGGGCTGGGAAGGTGGCTTAGTGGTAGAGTGCTTGTCTTGCATGCATGAGGCCCTGGGTTCGATTCCTCAGCACCACATAAGCAGAAAAAGCTGGAAGTAGGGCTGAGGCTCAAGTGGTAGAGTGCTAGTCTACAGCTAAAGAGCTGAAGGACAGCACCCAGGCCCAGAATTCAGGCCCCACGACTGACAAAAAAAAAGAGTCCCATGGACTTTCCTACCCAGACTGGCTTTGAACCTTCATCCTCGGATCTCAACCTCCTGAGTGGGGAGGATTACAGGCATGAGCCTGTAATCTACCAGCTCAACTTATTCTTATAGTTACAGCTTTATTCATCCATTCCTTCAATTATCCAGTCTCACTATGTATCTAAGGCTGACCTGGAACCTCCTTATACTCTTGAGTGCTGGGATTACAGGCATGTGCCACCCTTGCCCAGCCTGTACTTATTTACAGTGCAACCTTTTCAAATAAAATTCAGAGTTAGAGGATGGGAATGTGGCTTAGTAGGTAGAGTGTTTGCCTAGTATAAATGAAGCCCTGGATTCGATTCCGAGTACCACATAAAACAGAAAAGGCTAGAATTGGTGCTGTAGCTCTAGTGGTAGAGGGCTAGCCTTGAGCAAAAGAAGCTCAGGGACACCACCCAGGCCCTGAGTTTAAGACCCAGGACTTGGGAAAAATATTCACAATTAGTGTAGACTGAAATTTTAGACTGAAGTTTATCTGTTCATTTATTTCTTCTAAGAACAATGGTAATTTGACTTATATGTTCACCTTATTTGCTTCAAAGTCTAGAATTAAAATGGTCATTTTTTGGGGGCGCTGGTGGCTCATGCCTGTGGTCTTAGCTATTTAGGAGGCTGAGATCTGAGGATCATAGTTTGAAGCCAGCTCCAGCAGGAATGTCCATGGGGCTGTTGCTCGAAGTAGTAGAGTGCTAGCCTTGAGCAAAAGAGGCTCAGAGACAGCGCCCAGGCCGAGTTCAAGCCCTATGACCAACCACAAAAAATAAAATGCCTATTTGGTCCTGATTCCTTCTTACATTTACTCTTTATTATTTACTATCAATAAATGTTAAAAACTACACATCTGGTAACATATAGCACATGGTCTCTACAGAAAGCTTTCTCAATGAGTCCTAGTATAAGCAGGTGCTGATTCTACTGCTAGACATCAATCAGTATTACAATGAAATTCTATGTGGTTCTTTCTGGAAACGTTATGGCACTGTGACATCTTCTAAGTTTTTATCTCCTTAAAGTCTCAGAGAAGGGTTTGTAACCAAAAATTGTGCCTAAAAATGAATGAATCATCAGTGCAAGTATCAGCTGTTATTTTGGAAAATTCTTCATAGCTTCTAGATGACAAGGGTTATAGATAACATAAGCATGCTGTGTGTGTGTGTGTGTAGTGTGTGTGTGTGTGTGTAGTGTGTGTAGACGAAGGCCGGACATATGTGTGTTGTGTGTGTGCGTGTGCACTTGCACTCTCACACACACACATGCACATGTGTATATACACTCGGGCTTGAACACAAGGCCTGGGCACTGTCACCTAGCTTTTTGACTGAAGGATAGAGCTCAGCTACTTGGACCACAACTCTATTTCTGGCTTTCTGATGGCTAATTTGAGATTAAGAGTCTCACAGACTTTCCTGCCCAATCTGGCTTCAAACTATGATCCTCCGATCTTGGCCTCCTGTGTGGCTAGGATTAGATTTGAGCTACATACTAGGTTTTCTGGTGCTAGTCCTGGGGCTTGAACTCAGAACCTGGGCACTGCTGCTGAGCTTTTCTGCTCAAGGCCAGCAGTATACCACTCCACTTGAGCCACAGTTCCACTTCTTGCTTTCTGATATTTAATGAGAGATTAAGAGTCTCATGGACTTTTCCCACCCAGACTGCCTTTGAACTGCAATCCTCAGAGCTAGGATTAGAGAAGCATGAGCTACTAGTGCCCGTCCATCTTTTTTTTTGGGGGGGTGTATGAGGGGGTGGGAGTAACAGTATCTTTCTATGTAACTCAGACTGGCTTTGAACATACTATATTCCTCAGGCCGACTTCAAACTTTCAATCCTGCTTTAGCCACCCCAGTGCTGGGATCACAGAAGTATGCTACCTAGCCATCTACTCTCAAAAGTATTTTGGGATGAAGTTGATGTATGGCACTTACATCAAACCCTATAAGGTGCAGTAAAGTGGATAGTACTGAAATATCAGTACCAATTAATGGGAAATTAGCATTTTGGTGATGACATTTCCCACTTCCCTCATGCCCCATCACTGAAAGTCTGTACCATGCAAGCCCCCTATATTTACAAGAGATTTCTTTCTCTCGAGGTCTCAGATTGAAAACTTGAGATCATGCACTGTCACACCCTTCCTGCCGCTCCTCAGGCTCCTGTGAAGCTGGTGCTGTTGGATATACCCATCACTGTGAACCACTTACTCTTGGAACACAGAATGACAGAATCCCAAACTATCAGCAGCTCATTACCTATACACATGACTTCAATGTGCAAGGGAAAAACTAGGCTGCTGGGAGTTGAGGGCAGGAAGGAACTGTGACATTCAGTGCAATCAGACCTTTTACCAATCATCACTGACCTCTGTGAAGTGCCCAGGCCCCTCATGAAATCATAGGAGCAAGGTGAGAAGAGGAAGGGGCCCCGCCTTTCTCCAGACCAACTCCTCTTCCAAAATGGCACTCTACTCAGTATCTCATCCCCAGAAGTGAAAGCTCAGATCTAAATACCACTTCCTTTTTAGTGCAAATCTTGCCTTCCTTTGAGAGCAACTTTGTTTAGCCACCATCTGCTGTAACAGTTCTTAACTGCAGTTCAACTTTGGGTTCTGCTAATTTTTTTCTGTTCCAGTAATGGGGCTTGAATGCAATGCCTCTCATTTTGGTTGGCTTTTTCCACTCAAAGCTGGCACTCTACACTTGAGCCAGAGCTCCACTTCTACCTTTCTCCTCTCAGCCTCCAGAATAACTGGGTTCTACTCATGTTGTTCCTCGTCAGTCCTCTACCAGCCCTGAGCTAAATATTCCATGCTTCCCTAAACTGGCTCAATTATTTAGGTGGGATGCTGATCTGATTAATGCCAGGATCCTGCTCTAAACTTTAGACAGTTTAGACAGTTCTGGTATCAGAGTGGCTTCTGCATAGCATTGTTCCTGCATCCAGTTACATTCTTATAGTTAGAAGACATACAAGTAAGGGTTTAACTTACTAAACCAACAGGTGTCCTGCTACACTCACTCTAAATTGGAGCTAACTGGTAACAGTAACCGTAACTTTCAGATTTCTCACCATTCCATTTGTTTTTCCTTTTCTGTACCCTTGGTGTTACCAATCCTTTCTCTTATCCCACTGTTACACAGGATGGCTAGAACAAATTCTCTGCTCTGAAGCTAACTATGCACAATGTAGTCATTCTTCACATGCAACAGAGCCTGCGGGTCTAAGGGCCTGATTTTATAAGTGAAGCAACTCTAAGTCTAGCTGTAACCCTAGAAAGGATTGGTTAGTTTCAGTCCCTGCTACCACTGCACACTTAGAAGGTATGAACAAGAAGTGCACTCACAAAGACACACACAGCAGTGGTTGGTACCCTCGCGTCTTTACCAGAGGCAGGATGAGCATCCATATTGTCCTGGGGGACCGGGAAGGAAGAGACAGAACGTCTCCTAAGGAACAACACAAAGGCAGACATTAGACGAGACTAAATTCAGTTTAGTGTTCACCAGCTTCCAGAATGGTCTCGAAGATAAACTTGCAAAATCAGAAACATCCCAAAGTAGTAACAGGAAGAGAGCCAGAACACCTTACTCTCAGGCTCACTAAGTCCTGGGCTCTGAATCAACACTAAAAAGCAATCCTGAACAAAATCACTTACCCTGTCTGTAAGCTGCTAGAGAATATTTTCAACAGGTAGCTCAGAGATGGTTCTCTGACGCTTTCTAAACTTGTTTAACAATTGCTTCTATGCCTAGTTATAATCGCCCTCTGCTTGTATTTGTGGGCAGTCAAAAGCATGCCAAGAGAAAGCGTGCCAAGAGCATGATGACTTCACAAGGGCTCAAACTGTCCAGACTGCCTGACTTTGAGAGCTACCAGCATTCACTCCTGGAAGCATGCAAAGCGCCCTGGTTAGCATGTGGACACCTGATGTTTGCAGAGAGTGCAGTGTGATCAGCAAGATTATCAACAACCCACACTCACATGCTGGGCTAAGAGAGGGTAATATTTTCACCTGGCAGCATCAGAAGAAGAATGATGTCCCAAAAGGGGAGACTCGGACAGACTAAAGAGAAAGGCCAGAGATCAGCACGCAGCGAGATTAAGGAAGTTGCAGAAAAAAGGAAGCTAAATGAAAAGCCAAAAAATAAAAATAAAAAAATAAAAAAAAATTAAGGCATCTGTATTTTCTGCACCACTGAAATCCTGGAGTACACTTACATAAACAAAACACGTACATATACTTAGGTATATTTATACACATTTTAAAAGGGAAAGGAGAAGGTCTTCTAACCTACCCAAAGATATTAGTGATAGAATCCAGAAGGCCTCCAGCAGGCTGCGAGAGTCGCTTACTAAAGAGGAGGGAGGATAGGTTTACAACCTTAGAAACATTTTGCCCAAATAATCAAAACAGCCCATAAAAATAAGTACCCAGGAACATATTTCCCACTTAGTTCCCAAATCCCAGCTGAGAGAAACTGAACACAATATTTGAACCACCATGGAATAGTGGGAAAGTAGAAGGGAAAACCCAGCCTCAAAGTTTTAAACAAGGTTCCCTAGGATAAAATTAATTTCACTGGGGGCTGGGAATGTAGCTTAGTGGTAGAGTGCCTGCCTACCATGCATGAAGCCCTGGATTAGATTCCTTAGTACAACATAAACAAAAAAAGCCGCAAGTAGCCCTGTGGCCCAAGTAGCGTTGAGCAAAAGAATCTCAGGGACAATGAATGCCCAGGCACTGAGTTCAAGCCCCAGGACTGGCAAAATCATCATCATCATCATCTCACTGGAAATAAAGTCTCAGACAAGGAAACTCTAACTACCCCAAAAAAGTCTGAGTGTTAAAACCAAATACCCATTCTTTTCAATACTGTTTTAGCAAACTTAAAAAAATCCTTGAGCCCACTCTTGGTGAATGGAGGGGAAATCAGGAAGACTGGCCAGAAACCTGGCATAGAAGAGGAAGGATTTCATCAAGAGGATTCAGGGTTGTATGCATCTGACTATACTCCTCTTATGGCTGTGTGTGTGTACATTGCTGTGTGAGCTTTCCCCACCCAACCTGCTACTCACGTGGCTGTTCTGGTGACAGTTCGCACAGGAGAAGTCTCCTCTGGGTGGTCTGAGGTTTCATCTACTATAACTTCAATGTCATCATCCCTGGAAAGATCAAGAGTCAGTCTCTTAATCCGCTAGTAGGAGCTTGTGATTAACCGGTTCTGCAAAGGTCAGTGTAATTTTCTACTGAGACATCCTATGAGACTAGGCATGACAGCAATGGTGAAGTTCACTGAAGAACAATAGCAAGATGAAGAGGTGCCATTCCGGAGAAACTTGAAAAGAAATACTGGCTCAAGTGGAAGAGCACTATTCTTTTTTTTTTGGGGGTCCGGTTGTGGGGCCTGAACTCTGGGCCCAAGCACTGTCCCTCAGCTCTTCAGCTCAAGGCTTGAGCCACAGCGCCACTTCCGGCTTTTTTCTTTTTGCTTATGTGGTGCTGAGGATCGAACCCAGGGCCTCATGCATTCAAGGCAAGCGTTCTACCACTGAGCCACCTTCCCAGCCCATAGATAACTATTCTTGAGTACAAAAAGGCTCAAGGACAGCGCTCAGGCCCTGAGTTCAAGTCCCACACCGACCAAAAAAAAAAAGAAATGTTTCATATATCTGAGAAGGCAGGATACACCCCTACACTGACATCCAGAGCAAATATTTGACAAAGAACTTCTGTTTCTGCATGTGTTGGTGGAAGAATCTTAACTAAATCATTCTTCTCCATTTAAAAACAATCAGAAACCTAAAAAGAGAGCCATATTCACATATTATATGCCAAAATACATTTTAACAGAAAGTATAGCAAAGCGAATGCTGTTATTTAAAAACCTACCACAGGGGGCTGGGAAGATAGCTCAGTGATAGAGTGCTTGCCTTGCATGCCTGAGGCCCTGGGTTCGATTCCTCAGCACCACATAAGCAAAAAAGAAAAAAGCCAGAAGTGGTGCTGTGGCTCAAGTGGTAGAGCGCTAGACTTGAGCTGAAGAGCTGAGGGACAGCGCCCAGGCCCAGAGTTCAGGCCCCATGACCGGACCCCCCCAAAAAAAAAAAAAAACCTACCACAGGAAGGTGGCTCAGTGGTAGAGCGCTTGCCTTGCATGCATGAGGCCCTGGGTTCGACTCCTCAGCACTACATAAGCAGAGAAGGCCAGAGGTGGCACTGTGGCTCAAGTGGTAGAGTACTAGCCTTGAGCTGAAGAGCTGAGGGACAGCGCCCAGGCCCAGTGTTCAGGGACCCCCGACCAACCAAAAAAAAGAAACCCTACCTTAGTGGCTGCGAATGTGGCTTAGTGGTAGAATGCTTTCCTAGTATGTATGAAGCTCTGGGTTTGATTCCTCAGTACCACATAAGCAGAAAAGCCAGAAGTGGCACTGTAGCTCAAGTGGTAGAGTGCTAGCTTTACGCACAGATAAGACTCAGGGATAGTGCTCAGTGCTCAGGCCCTGAGTCAAGCCCTAGGACTGGCAAAAAATAAAGTAAAATCACAGTCAGGTACCAGTGGCTGAGGCCTTTAATCCTAGTTGCAAAAAAGAAAAAAAAGCCGTAAGTAGCACTATGGCTCAAGTGGTAGAATGGTAGCCTCAAGCTGAAGAGCTGAGGGACAGCGCCCAGGCCCAGAGTGCAGGCCCCATGACCGGACCCAAAATAAACAAACAAATAAATAATAAATAAAACTGAACCCCTGCACAATTACATGATGACAGGCTCCATTAGAGCTGGAAGCAGTGAGGTGTCCCCAGCACAGGAAGTGAAGAGTCAGACTCAGCTGAAGAGTTTATGTAGGAAAACTTCTGAGAGGCAATTTGGTAATACATATTTGAGAATATATTAAACTTTTGGCCCAACAAATTTTACTTTTAAGAATCTCCCCCCCACCCAAAAAAAGAATCTTTCCCCAGGCTGGGAAGGTAGCTCAGTGGTAGAGCGCTTGCCTTGCATGCATGGGGCCCTGGGTTCGACTCCTTAGCACCACATAAGAAAAAAGAAAAAAGCCGGAAGTAGCGCTGTGTCTCAAGTGGTAGAGCACTAGCCTTGAGCTGAAGAGCTGAGGGACAGTGCCCAGGCCCAGAGTTCAGGCCCCATAACCGGACCCCCCCCCAAAAAAAGAATCTTTCCCCGAATCATATAACTGCAACCCCTCTGTACATCATCTTTATAATAATAAAAAATTATATGAAAAAAAAATCTTTGTATACTTAACTTGAAAGATGGCCAGAGGTCATTTTTAGTACTTTATTTGTAAATTCACTATTGCAAATGCCCAAAAAAGCATCGCTAAAGCAACTGCCCAGATGTTAGTTTCAGGTCACTTATCTCTACTTACTGTTCAACTGGCAGAGGCTCCTTTGCCGCTTCTGCAAGCTCTTTCTGCAGCCGGGCTTGACGCCTCCTATTTGAGAAAAGGCACATCATTTACCTCTGCTTACCAAAGGCACAGGGTTTTCACTCTCAATAAACAACTCTGAGGAGTCTGAAAATGTGAATATTCAGTGTATTTAAAACACGCTCAGTACAAACACTAATTGTTTTCCTGAATACTTAATACTTAATTCCACAGGTGTGTGGAGTCTATCAGTCCCAGAGACAACTGTCCTCAGCCATTTCACTTCTTTATGAAGACCTCCTTAACTCCACCTTAAACTCAGCATTTGAGTTCCAATCAAGACCTGGGCTCTTTAGTGACAATTCTCAAATGTAGAGTTGCTTGAGAATTTGGGGGATGAGGGTATAGCTCAAAAAAAAAGTACATTACACTGTTTAGTAAAGGACTCAAATTATCGGCTGGGAAGGTGGCTTAGTGGTAGAGCGCTTGCCTTGCATGCATGAGTCCCTGGGTTTAATTCCTCAGCACCACATAAGCAAAAAGAAAAAAGCCGGAAGTGGCGCTGTGGCTCAGGTGGTAGAGCACTAGCCTTGAGCTGAAGAGCTGAGGGACAGTGCCCAGGCCCAGAGTTCAGGCCCCACGACCGGACCAAAAAAAAAGACTCAAATTATAAATTTTACAGGACAAATCACACCAAAGTCCAATTTATTCAGATGTTCTTATAGCAATCCTCCCCCTCCTACCCCCCCCCAAAAAAGTCAAATGGATTGGGAAGAATACCTTCCTGTAATACAAGTTACCCTGGAGGTGAGGACTAACAAAATCTGAGATTGCCCCCTTTCCACCTCAAAAAATTCAAGATCTGCTGGGTGCGGGTGGCTCATTCCTCTAATCCTACCTACTCAGGAGGATGAGATCTGAGCATTGCACTTCAAAGCCAGTGGGGGAGGGGGGGCAGGAAGGGGCTCAGTGGTAGAGTGCTTGCCTTGCATGTATGAGGCCCTGGGTCCGATTCCTCAGCACCACATAAGCAGAAAAAGCTGTAAGTGGCGCTATTGTTCAAGTGGCAGAGTATTTGCCCTGAGCCAAAGAGCTCAGGACACAGTTCAAGCCCTAGAACTGACCAAAGAAAAACAACTCAAGATCCAATAGGTGAGGTGTTCAGGCCTGTAATCCTACCTCCATGGGAAGTTGAGATCTAAGGATCACAGTTTGAAGCTAGCCCAGGCAGAAAAGTCCATGACAAGAATTTTATCTTCAATAAACTACTCAGAAAAAAGCTGGAAGTGGCACTGTGGCTCAAGTGGTGGAGCCCTGAAAAGAAAGAGACTCAGGGACAGCACCCAGGCCCTGAGTTCCAGTTCCAGGACTGGCAAGAAAAAAAAAATTCAAGATCCTACAGGAGGGTCAATGTCCAAGACCAGCCTCAGGGCAAATTGAGGCAATCTAAAAATCAGGAAGGGGCAAAAAAAAAGTCCAGTCCAGGCAGTGACATGTGTTGAGAGCTCATCTCTAATTATCCAGTGAAGTGTCACTAGAGCAAGGCTCAAGTGGTAGAGCCCCAGCTGTAAGCAAGAAAGCTGAGCAAGAAGAATGAGGTCTTGAGCTCAAGCCCTAGTACTGGCCCAAAACACAGGTATCAATGAATATGATTTAGAAATTTTCTTCCATGTTTTTTGTTTTGGTTAGTTGTAGGACTTCAACTCAGGGCCTGGGCACTGTCTCTGAGCTCTTTTCACTCAAGGCTCTACCAACTTTGAGCCACAGTACGACTTCCAGTTTTCTAATGGTTAACTAGAGATAAGAGGTTCAAGGACTTTCCTTCCTGGGCTGGCTTCAAGCCACAAATCCCAAGATCTCTGCTTTCTGAGTAGCTGAATTATAGGCAAGAGCCACCAGCACCTGGCTCAGTCCTGGTTTTAATTTTTATTAGTTGTGAGCTTGAACTCAGGGCCTATGCACTATCCCTTAGCGCTTTTGCTCAAGGCTAGCACTCTACCACTTGAGACACAACTCCACTTCCAGTTTGAGTGGTTAATTGGAGATACGAGTCTCACAGGAACTTCTCTGCTTAGGAAGGCTTTGAATCATGATCCTCAAGATCTCAGCCTCCTGAGTAATTAGGATTACAGGTATGAACCATTTACTCCCAGCATTGTTTTTCTTATGTTCTCCTTCATAAAACATGGAGCCCACTGACTACAGCTGGACATCCCACCTGGAGTCTTTCTCATTCTCTGCATTGAGGCGATTGGCTTCTTGGGCCTTCTCAGCCATCCACCTAGTGACCAGCTCCTGGTTCTCTTCTGTAGTTTTCCGCAGCTTCTCCTCCAAGGCAGTAAAAGTGATCTGCAGGGCGTCATATTCGTCCTTCAGGGTCTGGTTGGCTATCTCAAGGTCCTGCAGCTTGCTGCGCAGGTCCAGGCATTCCGTTTCCAGATCAGAGATAGTCTGCAAACACTCAGCAATTCTGGAAACACAACATGAAAAGAGTGGTGCCTGGCCAGAGGCCTACACCACCTCCAGAGAACTCTACGTGCCAAACGGTTGAGCTCAATTCAGCAGCAGGATCATGAATCACTATGCTAGGCCTAGCCCAATGGTGTGCATAACAATTCCACTAGCAAACACCCTGGATAAGAGTCCTCTTGACCATGAATAACTAGTCTTAGCACCATTCAAGACAGAAGGACTGGAGTAAGGGAAGCTCTGGGTGTTTAGATTGGTGAAGGGACTTGTAAGGCCCCCAGCTGTAGCATGCTAGACTACCATTTCTCTGACGTCTGGGCTTCTCCCTGATCAAACACATTTGCCACATGTGCCAAGGTTCATGCACTCAGGCATCACAATGTCTCCCCTCCCCACCACAGGAAGACACTACCATCCCCATACAGTGGCCATGGAGAAGAATTAAGTCTCCTAGGACACTCACCTGGCAACTGGCCCAGTTCCTTCCAGTTAAGTTATATTAGGGGCTTACGGGTTCTGCCTTTGATTTTCACAGGAAAGTATCCCAAAATCCGTGTGAAGTATGTAATGAAGTGCTTGTTGTGTGCAGTATGGCTACCAATTGGCCTTACTCAAGAGTATAGCAAATCAGGATGTGTGACCCAACAGGCAGGCCTCAAGTAGATGTGATATCTACTCACTTTGCTTCATTCATCTGTATCTCCCTGTCCTTCTGCTGCATTTGGTTATTCAAGTCGATCACCAACTGAGCTAACTGGAAATAAAGAACACTCTCATAAGATTTTAGGATCTCACTTAGAAATTACATACTGGGTGAATTAGGCAATTCATAAGAGTAGGGGTGGGGAAAGGTAAGAAGAAAAGTGCTGGTGGCAGAGAGAGAGGGTCCCGTGGAGATGTGGCTTGTTGCTATCTTCTGCTCTGTGGAGAGAGGCATGGGTAATGGTGAACAATTCTAAGTGACCTCCAGCTTCTGGCTGAGGACACTATCTTCAATCGAACCGCAACTCAACTGAATCGATTACAAGACAGTATTCCCTCAGCTGGAGCTCTCCCTTAAGTCCACCATCCTAAGCCAAGTGCTGGTGGCTTACATCTGTACTCAGGAGGCTGAGATCTAAGAATGAGGATGGTGATTCAAAACTAGCCTGGGCAGGACAGTCTGTGAGACACTCATCTCCAACAGACCACCGAAAAACTGGAAGTGGCGCTGTGAAACAAAATGGTAGAGAGCTAGCCTTGAGGTGAGGACAGTACCCAGTTCAAGCCCCACAACTGGGAAAGAGGAGGGGGCGGGGGAGATCACCATCCAGGTTACACATAGCTAGAACTCAACTCCTTGAACTGTCCCCTTCTGAAACTGGAGGGTTCACACTCAAAAGCTTGATGAGGCTTTAATAAGAACTCAGAGATGCCCAAGCAGTCAGCTTTTTTGCTCTTCTAAGCTTCCTTTCTTTGTCACACTGGGGAGCACAGCAACAGTGTGGTCTGGCTCTAGTAAACACTTGCTGGGACCTCACAGTGTCTAGTGGTTTCTTTTGGTTTTCCCCACTTACACTCTCAAAGCTTATATGCAGAATGTAGCAAGATTACTACCAATCCTCAGAAGTGACTGCCCACCCTCCCATTCCCCATAAGACCCTGGAGAGAGCAAAGGACAGATGGGCAGAAGGGCTATTTTACCTCCCCACGTTTCTTGTGTAGTTCAGTCAGTTCTTCCTGGTGCTTAATCCGCAGCTGGGACATCTCTTGTCGAATATGGTCACTCCATGTACCATCGTGTCCGGGGCTAAACCACCAGACAAAATGTAACTGGTTCTTATCATTACTAAGTGCAATGTGCAAAAAGAACATAGATTTTTATAGTGGTAAAGGCCATTGTTCCCATATAAACCTACCAAATACGCAAGCATTAGGACAAACCCACCTAAGTTATTTTGATGAAGTATAGCTTTCAGTTTGTTTTGTTTTGAGGGGTTCCCAGTGTCTGACCCTAAGTTCTTTTTGCTCAAAGCTTATGCTCTACCACTTAAGCCACAGCTCCACTTTTGGCCTTTTTTTTTTGATAGTTAGAGATAAGAGTCTCATGGAAGGGGGGAGGGGGGAGGCTGGGAAGGGATGTGAAGGGTAAACAAAAGGAGGAGGCTGCAATGCTTGGTAAGAAATGTACGCATTATCCTGCCCATGTAATTGTAACCCCTCTGTACAGTATCTTGACAAAGAAAAAAAAAAGAGTCTCATGGAAAGCTGGACATTGGTGGCTCACACCTGTAATCCTAACTGCTCAGGAGGCTGAAATCTGAGGATCAAGGTTCAAAGCTAGCATGGGCAGGCAAGTCCAATTCATTCCTTTAACCACAAAAAAGCCAGAAGTAGAGCTGTAGCTCAAGTGACAGAGCATGAGTCTTGAGCAAAAAAAAGGACTCAGGGACAGGGCCCAGGCCCTGAGTTCAAGCCCCAGGACTTAGAGTAGACTGCTTGCCTAGTATGCATGAAGCGCTGGGTTTGATTCCTCAGTAACACAAACATAAAAACGCCAGAAGTGGTGCTGTGGCTCAAATAGTAGAGTGTCAGCCTTGAATAAAAGAAACCATGAGAAAGTGCCCAGGCCCCGAGTTCAAGTGCCAGGACTGGGGTAGGGGTAGGGGGAGTAAACCCTGAGCTGAGTACTAGTGGCTCATGCCTATAATCCTAGCTACTCAGGAGGCTGAGATCTTGCAGACTGCAGTTGGACACCAGGACTGGCACAGACATCATACAAATGTGGAAGTGAAGGTATGGGTCAAGTGGTAGAGTGCAAAAAGCTCAGGAATAGTGCCTATGCCCTGAGTTCAAGCCCTAGAACAGGCATGCATACATACATTTACATGTGCTAACACACACAGAATGAACCATAGTTGGTTAGAAGTTAGCCCAAGGTTGCTATATGAACTGGACTTAAGAAATTTCTCAGGGCTGGGAAGGTGGCTCAGTGGTAGAGCACTTGCCTTGCATGCATGAGGCCCTGGGTTTCGATTCCTCAGCACCACATAAGCAAAAAGAAAAAAAGCTGGAAGTGGCACTGTGGCTCAAGAGGTAGAGTGCTAGCCTTGAGCTGAAGAGCTGAGGGACAGCACCCAGGCCCAGAGTTCAGGCCCCACGACCGCCCGCCCAAAAAAAGAAATTTCTCATGCTGAGCAGGCACTGCTGGTTCACACCTATAATCCTAGCTACTCAGGAGGCTGAGATCTAAAGATTGTGGTTCAAAGCCAGCCAGGGCAGAAAAGTCCCAGAGAGACTCATCTCCAATAAACCAATCAAAAACTGTTAGTGGCACTGTGGCTCAAGTGGTAGAGCACTAACCTTCATCACTAAGAGACTCAGGGATGGTACCCAAGCCGAGTCAAGCCCCACAACCAACCAAAAAAAATAAAAAGACATTTGTCAAGCTGAGAACATTACACTGATAAAGTCATTTCAGTTACTTTTAGCAGCCCTTATTTAAAAGGAACTGGCAAAAACTAAAGCACAGAAAAAGTATTTGCTTTCAGAGAAGTGACAACAGAATCAAAACAAATTTCAATTTCAAACATGGAGAAACTAAAAGGGTTAGTTTGAAAATACCTTATCTCATGCCTGTTTGGTGTGTCATGCTTTTCAGGTTGTAGCTTCTGGGCCAACACTGAATGAAGATCTGACTTCTCCAGCAACTTGTTATCTATAAATACATAAATCAAGTTATCACAGCATAGTTATAATTATAAAACTTGAGCTTAAAAATTACCATAGGATGGTCTGGGAAGTGACTCAGTGGTAGAGTGCTTGCCTTGCATGCATGAGGTCCTGGGTTCGATTCCTTAGCACCACATAAGCAGAAAAAGCTGGAAGTGGCACTGTGGCTCAAGTGGTAGAGCACTAGCCTTGAGCTGAAGAGCAGAGGGACAGCGCCCAGGCCCAGAGTTCAGGCCCCACGACCGGAAACCCCCCCTAAAAAAAATTACCATAGGATCACCTGGGTAGGATTCATTTTTATTACGTATTTAAATATGAAGTACTTTGTCACCTACTGTAATGATGTAGGAACACAAATTTCTTGGTTGATTCTTAGCTTAAGTTTGGGCAGCCTAGTCATAGTCACCTGTAAACACTTTCAAGAATGACCTATTAAAGGAGTTGAAATTGCTTTCCACTTTCAAAATCATCTTTTCTGACTTGAGAGTGAAGCAAAACACAATGACAAAGTGAAATGCTATGTACCTTTAAGTAATATACTACTTTACAGTACTTTGATAGCTTTAACCATTTTCCTTCTTTTCCTTCCCCTCTTCCACTCTCTATCTCTCTGGTGCTGGGTATTAAACCTGAGGTAATGTACAGGAAAATGTCAACCACATGAGCTATATATACCCTGACCTCTTTATTTTCATTCCATATTGCTTTGAGACTCTGTCTCATTACTGTTGTAGCCTAGGTCTGGCCTTAACTCATAATCCTTCTGCCTGACTCTCCCTTATGGCTGGGAATACAGGGATGGACCACGCAGTTTCAATATTGGGTTTTGTTTACATCAGGATACAACAAACGGAAATACAACTCAGAGATCCTAAGTTCACATCTAATGAGGCTCATTATTAAAAGTCAAAGAGCAGAATGACTTTTTCATTTTTCCTGTGGCAGTGTTGGGGTGTGAGCCCTGGGATTCATGCTTGCTAGGCTCTATGCTTAAGCCATAATGCCAGTGGCAAATTTGGCCTGTTTTTTGTATGTCATTTTCACGGAAGGTTTCACAGGCAGTGACATTAGAACTAGGTTTAAAGGAAGATGATGGTCTAAGCAGTAAGAAAATCCGTTGTCTGGGAAGTGACTGGAAATGAAATTTGGAGCCAACATATCAAAGAGCAGGACAAGAAATTCAGACTTTTTAAATTGAAGTAAAAGACTGTAGAAACAATCACATGGACAGATTTGAACTGATAAATAAATAGGCAGACCTTCCTTGCTCAGGTAACTGGGTAGATATTTACCTGCCAAACATAAGACACCCAAGAGTCAGAAAAAAGAAAAAGTTCACATTCTAAGCATACGAAACATGGCAGGGAAATAGTACCAGAATTCAAAAGAAAGGAGGTGTGCTTATGAGGGTGAGGCACACTGGCCAACAAGGACAGCTTGCAAAGGGTCAGCCCTTTCCTGCAATCATGAATGGTCATGGCTTGCATGCTAGGCCCCTGTGGCTCACGCCCATAATCTTAGCTACTCTGGAAGCCCGAGATCTGAGGATCACAGTTCAAAGCCAGCCTTGGCAGGAAAGTTCTGGGGAGTCTTATCTCCAATAAACCACCAAAAAACCAGAAGTGGTGCTGTGGCTCAAATGGTAGAGTGCTCACCTTGAGCTGAAGAGCTGAAGGATAGCACCCATGCTGAGTTCAAGCCTCACAACTAGCAAAAAAAGAGAGAGAGAGAGAAAAAAGCCTAACAAACTTGTTAATGTGGAGTCATACAAAGAGGCCAGAAGTTGAAGCTTACATTCCCTAATCCTTAGTGAAGGAAATGATTAAGGTGAAGCCAGACAAGATATTTCCCAGGAAATCTCTAGAAGGTATCTCCAGAAAAGATAAAGCCTCAATTTCCTTTTATAGATAGGAGCTTAAATCAATTGTTTTTACTTCTTTGGAAAATTTTTCTCAGCTGATAAGGGAACTCCACCCTTGTTGGGGGGTGGGGGGGGAGAGGAGGAACAACAGAGGATTAGAGAGAAGTGTATATTTTGAATGGTTTTTCAAGTTCAGCAGGTCAAAGTGCCACCCTTTGGGCATCAATATCCCCAAGGAAAAAAGAAACTGACAAAAGGAGTTTAGCAGAACTGCCACATTTGAGGAAGGTCCATGCAAAATCATTCCCAAGATTACAAATGTTTTCTAACAACATGTGCCTACATTTAAGCTAGTTCTGTTAAAAGCCCAGCTGATTTGATTGGCTGGCATTCTACTAATTGAACTATTTTCCAGCCCTGCTATTTGCTGGTTATTTTGGAGATGGAATTTCCTACTAAGGCTGGCTTTGAACCTAGATCCTCTGGATTACAGCCATGATTACAGGAGTGAGCCTCTGTTGCCTCATAATCTCATTTCTCCTTGATACCAGAAAATGGAAGTGCTGAGCACAATCTTTTCTCTGTATTAGTTGAATGGAAGCAAATGTGAACTGGGAAGTGTTCTGCCCTTGGATATTATGACCAAGAAAGCTTTAAAACTCAATGCCAAAGGGTTTTAGGATTTCCAAAATGTCAAGAGGTTGGTGGCAGGAGCCTATAATCCTAACTACTAGTAAGACTGAGATCAGAGGATCAGGTTCAATCAACCTTGGCTAGAAATTCAATGAGACCCTTATCTCCAGTTAACCATCAAAAAGCCAGGTCGCCCAAGTAGTGGAGCACTAGCCTTGAGCAAGAGCACTTAGGCCCTAAGTTCAAGCCATAAGATCAGCACCAAAAAGAAAAAAAAAAGTTCTAGCTAGATACCAGGTGAAAACTTTTAAGACTTTGAAAGATAAAGATCACACCTGTACTCCTAGCTATTCAAGGGGCCACTGGCTGACATCTGAGAACTGAGGTTCAACCCCAGCCCAGACAGCTTTTTATTTCCAATTAACCAGCAAAGAGCTGGAAGTGGTGGCATGATACAAACAGTAGAGCACCAATCTTGAAAGGAGAAAAGCAAATGAGAGCACAAGGCCCAAAGTTCATGCCCCAGTATTGCACAATGAATGAATGAATGAATGAACAACATGACGCACTCAAAAGACCTCTTCCCTAAAAGTTCTCCCCTCTCCCCCGCCCCCTAGAAGACTAGTCAGGGAGAAGCCTCTTTTTATCTTTCCCTTCAAAATCAGGCAGGAAATCTTGGTTGATGGAGGGTACCCAACCTAACTGGCTTGGAAGACTAGAATGAAGGGACCATGGCATTTCACAAACTAGAAATAATTTCCCCAACTATTCAGTTCTCTGGCCTAAAGACTGTGTTTGTGGGGGGGGGAGGGGAGAGGGGAGAGAGGAGGGGGGGTGAGTCCTGGGGTTTGGACTGAGGGCCTGGGTACTGTCCCTGAGCTTCTTTTGCTCTGCCAGGTGAGCCAGAATGCCATTCCTGGCTGGGGGGAGGGGCGGCGCAGAGGAAGGGGGTTCTTTAGATTCTTTCAAACAGTGGTCCTCAGATCTCAGCTTCCTGAGTAGAGTGGGCAGGCATTGTTCACTAATCCCGTGCTGATTAAGTATGTGTGCTCTCATTTCTTTTTCTTGTTTTTCCAGTCCTGGGGACTGAATTCAAGGCCTGGGCTCTGTCCCTGAGCCTTTCTGTGCTCAAGGCTAACCCTCTACCACTTGAGCCACAGCTCTACTTGCAGCTTTTTTCTTTTTATGTGGTACCAAGTTATCAAACCCAGGGCTTCATGCATACTAGGCAAGCACTCTACCACTAAGCTACATTCCCAGCCCGTGCTTTCTCATTTCCATTCATTCTTCAGCCCATCATTCATGCTACTCCATTTCCTGATTTATGGAATTGTAACTCTTCTATAGATCACCTTTATAATAACAATAAAAGTTTTTAAAAAAATCAAAACCACAATCCACCAGGGTCCTAATACAGAGTCCAAGTTGGCCTAGAATTCTCAATCCTCCTGTCTCAGATTCTCCAAGTGCTAGGACTGCAAAAGTACTCTACAACAGCCTGCATGACACCCACTTTGAAATGCAAATAAACACTCAACTTGTGTTTATGAAATTAGCAGCACACTATTATAAGTTTTCAAAGCACTTATAAAAACTGCACTGTTTTTATGAAGCAGACAGATCATGCTTCATTCTTGATTTATAGTTTATAGATACGCCCAACTAGACTCAGAAAGCTTTAAGTGAAGAGGTCAGTAAGGGGTTAGTCAAACCTCTAACCCAATTTAATTTAAAGAGTACAGATAAACCAGGCACCAGTGGCTCAGGCCTACAATCCTAGCTACTGAGTTCTGAGGATCACAATCCAAAACAAGCTTGGGCAACGAAGTCCTGAGACTTCTATCTTCAATTAACCACCAAAAACCAGGACATGGGGCTGTGGCTCAAAGAGAGTGCCAGCCCTGAGGGAAAAAAGATACAGAATATGGAATAAGCTTTGCCAACTGGATTTATGTAATCTGGGAGGGAATGTTTTGAGCAAGTGAGACTTCCTCTGCTTCTGAAATACAAATAAGGAATAAACCCTAGAACGGGGTACTGGTGGTTCATGTCTGTGATCTAGGTACTCAAGAATCTGAGATCTGAGTATTGCGGTTCAAAGCCAGCCTGGGCAGGAAAATCCATGACTCTAATCTCCAGTGAACCACCAGAAGACCAGGAAGTGGCACTGTGGCTCAAAGTGGTAGAGGGCTAGCCCTGAGCGGAAAAGGCTCAAGGATAATGCCCAGGCCCCACGACCTTTTAAAAAGATGAAGCACAGAAATTCTCACTAGACTGGAACAAAAGTTTTTTTTTTTTTTTTGGTATCCTTATATTGCAAGAGCATACGGAAACCCTATTTGTCACTGAAAATTTTCAAATAAAGCAAAGTGGCTGGGTATGCGCTGGAGGGCGTGGCTCAAGTAGCTGTACAACAGCCACACGCGTAAAAAGCTGAGCTAAATAAAGCTCAAAGATCTGAGTTCAAATCCAAATGCCAGCGCACACACGCACACCAGCAGCAACACCAATCATAAAATGGAGCAATCATGTCCCAATTAACGTTAAGATTCAGAATATATAATCAAAGAACGCCGAAGAGGAATCAAGGGAGAGACCTGAGAAATCAAAACCTCACATTCTATGACCCTTAGAAAATGTTAATTCTTCAAAGTAATTCCTGTCCCAACACGAGATGTTCGTTCCCGCAGCCAGTCTCACGGCGCGTTAAGCACTGGGCGACATTTACTGGTAGCTCAGCAGGAGAACCGTCCACACTCGCGCCCGAGGGCAAAGTGAAAGAAGGTGGGAAAAAAAAAAACCTCAAGACGCGCGGGGTGCGTCCCCAGCGCCGAGAGCCGGGGCGGCCGCCCTGCGCGCGGCCG